GTACTAAGACTAAGCAACAAGAAAGGTCACACACCAGGTAAACTGGAATGACAACGAGGAGGAAGTAGAGACAGAGCCGGTCCTTCTCAGCAAATGCTGGAGACATTATAAGAAGTAAAGCATGGTGTCTACCCTGGAGAAATGTTTAGTGGAAATTGCAAAGACATATAAACAAATTTCCATAACACGGAATGTGACAACAGAATGAATCCTATTATAGAAGAAAGGATAGACATCAAATACACAAAGAGACACATATGCAAAAAAAAAAAAAATGAAAGGCATGTCACAGTGAGGTTTAACCAAAAATCAACAAGATCACTAAGCAGAAGATGACACAGAACTCCAACATCTGTCCAATAGTGTCTAACTACTAAATTCCTGTTGGATGACTTGCATTAAGGGTGACAAGACAAGGCAAGAGTCTTGTCGGATGACCCTTCAGAGCCTCAACTCCCTCATTACAAAATAAGAGACCATGATCAGATATGGAGGTTTCTTTTAGCAATAAAAATACAAATTAACAAAAGCAGAATCCTACAAACCAGATATACGAACCTCTTTCAACACAGGGAGAGAGGAGAATGATTTCCGGAGATTTAAGTGTGAGGCAAAATCAAATTAAGAGATGGAATTTCATGTGTTACATCTGTGAATGTGACATTGAGTTTTAGGATCATGAAAACTGCAGCTTATAATGGAACTGCTGATATAACCTCAAGCATAGCAGCAAATGCACTACCACAATCAGGTTGTTATGGTAACTAGAATACTTAGGTTAAAACAAGGAAGAGAATCTGTGTCTCTTTTGCATGTGCACATGTGTGCATGTGTGTGTCTGTGAGAGATTTTGTTGCCACTTCCACTAGAAATATTAAAAAATGTTTTATATATAATCTCAGAACTACATTCATCTCTTAGCACCTAAGTCTCTTATCAATTCTTTGGAATTAAAAAAAATAAAATGAGCTTCTTAAAAAATAAAATGAACTCTCCTGAAGAAGTTCAAAGAGCACCTAACCCATGTCTACAGCTGACTCAGCTTAACATACCTCCCTAACCTCTCCAGATTAAACTAGCTACTTCCTGCTTTGTGTGAGACCTATCTTATCTTCTGTTCTATATAGCTACTTGAGTATAACATAAAGATAACATTATTCCCTGACGTGCTTGTCTTCCCCAGTCCATGTCAACTTCTTGGGAGCAGAGTTTATCCCTTAGTCATGCTCATATATCCAGTGTCTGGAACGATGCACATGTTTTGGGGGCTTAACTGTTCAACCGAGGACTAAAGTATCAATCTTATCAAATTTTAAATATGAAGTCTTTACAGAATTATTTTTAAAATGTAACTTTTTTTACATTTTTCAAGTTTACATTTTTTACATTTTTACATGCTTTTTTATAGAAAAAAAATGTAACTATTTATACCTTATTAAATACATTTCTTGTAAAAATATTTCTTTTTTTTTTTTTTTAAGACAGGGTCTTGCTCTGTTGCCCAGGCTGAGTACAGTAGTGCAAAAAAGCTCACTGAAGCCTCGACCTCCAGGAGGATTGTTCAAGCAATCCTCCTGTCTCAGCCTCCCGAGTAGCTGGGATTACAAGCGTGCACCACCATGCCTGGCCAATTTTTTGATATTTTATTGAGACAGAGTCTCACTATGTTGCCCAGGCTAGTCTCGAACTCCTGGGCTCAAGCAATCCTCCTGCCCCCGCCTCTTAAATCTTGCAACTGCTGGGATTACAGGTGTGGGCCACCATGCCCAGCCATAAAACATATTTCATTTCTCATTACGGATAAGAATTTCTCTTATTACTAAAACTGGTAAGTAAATGGTGTGTCTCATAGGAATTACTGACTAGAATTTTGATTCTTAGTGTTCTATTGTTCTAACATATCAACTGTTAACTAGTTACAAGATCTGCACCCTTGGGTGCAGTTTGGGTGGATGCCAACCTCTGAGATGCTCAGCATTCTCATCTAGAAAATTAGTTGCCTGATCATCTCAGGAGAGTGTGTTCCTATGAACCACTGTAACCAAGAAATCTTTTTAGAAATTAGAGAAATGTTCCATATCAAAAACCATTTATAGATAATTTTAAAGAAATGATTCTCAACCAGATTTGAGGGGCAGAGTGCAGCATATTTATTCTTAGAGTGGCTATTTCCAACCACACCCCATACAGAAAGATTGATTCATTAATTCCTTTCCTATCTCACTGGAATACTTGCGCAGAGAGAAGTTATGATTGGTAAGTGTTACATGTAAGTGGCAGAGACAAGAAAAAACAAAGTAAGGTTAAAAACCATCATGAAAAACAAAGGAATGAAGAAAAAGACCTATTTACAAAAATAGAGTGTAACAGTGTATTCTTCTCACATACGATTGTAAAATATTCCATTCCTTCAAGTGCCTCAAGTATTTACCAGATCCACAGCCCATTTTGTTCAATATTCTTTCTCTTAATTTCCCTTTCTCAAGCCTGTTCCTCATCCAGCTTCCCCTATTTCAGCAAATTGCATCTCCAGCCACAGTTACTCAAGTCAGAGTTCTGGGGGCCATTATCAACACCTCTCTCACCATCATACCTAGATAGCTAATTCATCAGCCCACTATCATCTAAACCTCCTTATATTCCTGTAATCCATCCCCTTCTTTCCAATTATTATTACCTTAGTCTAAGGAACCATCATATTTTGCCTGAATCATCATCATAACCTCCTGCTAATTTCTAAATTTTTTAACACACCACATAGGACTCAAATCCTTTAAAAACATAACAGATCATTGAATTCACCAGCATAAAATCTGTCGACAATTCCCCTTTATCTTCTGCATATCATACCATTATGATCAAGACTATTTTCATTTTTTCATATCCCGCTAAAATGTATATATAGCCAGGCATGAAGGCACATGCCTATAGTCCCAGCTACTTGGGAGGCCAAAACAGGAGGTTCACTTGAGCCCAGAAGTTTGAGGTTACACTGCACTCCAGTCTGGGCAGCAGAACGAGACCCTGTCTCCAAAGCAAAACAAAAAAATAAAGAACAACAGAAAACTAAACAAACACACATCTACCATTTCTTACTCAAAGATCTAACCAAGAAATTACCCCTAATGGCTTTATGTATTACAAATCTTGGGGCTTTTTCTCTTACTATTGTCTTTCAAGGTATTTATAAAACTGTTAAATGAGAATTACCACAACTCTTAGAGGACCCCCAAAATTCTTGCATTCCAAGAGCTAATGGTTAAGTCCTGTAATTGTCTTCTGGCTCAGACAAATGGCTATTCACTTAAAGGTCCCCAAGGCTATTTACGTATTTTAGCTCTTTATTAGGGTTTTTAAAACAGACTTTAAGGTACTACTAACTTTGTCAAAATATTTTTTGAATCTAAAGTATAACCCACTTATTTCTATTTACCCATATATTTATTTATAAAACCAAGCTACCTTTTCTTTAGTAATTATTCACTAAGCATTCAAGATTTCCACTGTTTTTTATATGTCCGTACAGTATTCTATTGGATGTATTCACCTGAGCCCCTATTGGGGTCTGCTTAGATTATTTGTACTTGTTGACAAATATAAATAATGCTAGTTAGCATGCTTTCAAAAACATCATGGCATAGGGGTTAAGAGCACAGAATGCTTAGTTTGGATCCTGGTTCTGCCACTCATCAGCTCTCTATATCTTGTGCTAATTACTTGACTTCCATGTGCCTTCGGGAATTCTATACTTTTAAAAACAGGTCCACCATCCAGAAAGTCACTAAGGCTAATGAGCTGCTAGGCTTTCTACAGCATCACTATGGATGTTGAAAAATGTTTGCTTATTGCTTTCCCAGTGTCATCCTGAAATACTTTTTTTTTTTTGAGACAGAGCCTTGCTCTGTCGCCCAGGCTGGAGTGCAGTGGTGCAATTTTTTTTATTTTTGTAAAATTTTTGCATTTTTAATAGAGATGGGGTTTCACCGTGTTGGCCAGGGTGGTCTTGATCTCTTGACCTCGTGATCCGCCTGCCTCAGCCTCTCAAAGTACTAGGATTACAGGCGTGAGCCACCATGTCCGGCCCTGAAATGCTTTTAAAACTGACAATTGCCATTTAGTTCAAAACACTTATCCACATAAAAATTCTCATACAGAAGTATAATCATTAGGTGGTAATGACTAAATCAAAATTGTGGCCTTCCTAACATGGGATAACACCATGAGAACAACTCCAAGCAGTTAGATGTC